ACACTAGAATTACTGCTGTTGCCTCCACCAACCAGTAAAGTTTACATACTGTACATGTCTGTCCAGACTTATATAATATGTGTAGTGAATACTTGGAAGGAAATTAATAAAAGCTAAGTGTATTTTTTTGCGAAGTGAAAGTTATCACTTTTGATGATACATCTGCATCAGGGTGAAAATGCCTGGCTGTGGAATCTTTGCAGCCTTTCAGTGTCTGTTAAAAAGGCCATACCTTGCTTTGATGGATCTAGGGCAGCACTTTGATCACTACTTTTGCACCTGGCCACCCGTGGTGCTTTGTCTTGACCTACCCTATCCAGTAGGCTGGTCTGTGGTGACACAGAGATGGTCTGCTCGGTAACTGGCCAGGTCTGCCTCCTCCCTCAGGTCTACCAACGTCACAGCCGGCTAAAGAGTCTTGTCCAGGTCCTTGAAACAGCTCCTCATGCTTTTTATGATGGCATCAAGGAGCTGGCTCTTCAGTCTGTCAAATGTAATTTTAAATACTTTTGTCTTTAAGGCAGGGACACCTCTACACCACCACCATATAATACCAATACAGCTTTGTTAGACCTTAAGGATTTTTAGTGAATAACACTTAAATAAATGACTTGCTACAGTGCTTCATTCTTTTATAACAGGCTATGTTCACTGATGAGATAACAAGATTTGTGATTGAAAACCTCACAACAATATGAAAATGTAGTAAATTTAGATGCATTTTTGTGAGTGGTGGCAGCTTTCCTTCAACTTATTGGCCTTAAAATGCCAGAAGGAGGTAGTGTGAGTAAGTAATGACAGTCATACTTAAGATGCAAATTGTTTTCTGAACGCATACATGAATGAATGCATGAATACCGTAGCCATGCTTTACAATTCTAATGACAACATGTTCCAGTTTACTATTACAGATGAGGGTGTTGTGGAGACATCTGGATGCTATTTATGCATACCGACCTACACACCGGGAGCTGAGGGGTTGGTGGCGATTTATGACAAACACTGTGAGATGAAGAAAGCAAACATTATGCTGCCACAATTATACTTCCATTAAATGGCCAAATCGGATAATCCGTTTTCTTACGCATATTGCAGAGTTCTATTAATTCTATACTTCAGATGGTTTCGTCACAAACACTTAAGGTAGGCCTAGATTGTGAAGCTGTGCTTTAACCCAACTTTGTGCAGTTTTATTATACACTTATATAATATACTATATAATATATATATAATATACTTATATATTTTATTACACCCCTTGGTCATGGAATGACTTGAAGTCTAGATTCAATCTAGCCTCCCTCACCTCTTTAACCAGTTTTAAACAAAAGCTAACTGTTTTTATTACAAAATGTTCTTTTCACAATGCATAATATACTTTGCGTTTATTGAACGCCTATTGTTGATGCATGGATATTAGCTCTTATTCTGTAACATGCTGCAGTCTCAGCAATGTCAACATTGAAAAAGATTTTATCCCAACTGGTTTATACCCGGTTAAATACAGATTAAATTCAATAAATAACTTGTAAGTATGTGAACCCTTTAGAATTACCTGGATTTTGGCATAAATTGGTCATAAAATGTGATCTGATCTTCATCTGAGTCAAAACAATGGGCAAGCCTCCCAGCGCAGAATGCTCAGTATGGTTAAGAAGTCCAAGAGTGTCAGATGAAGACTTACAGAAATCTCTGGAACATCTCTGTTGATGACTCTACGTTATGTCAAACAATGAACAAGAATGGAGTTCGTGGGAGCACACCATGGAGGAAGCCACAGCTGTCCAAAAAAACCCATTGTTGCACGTCTGAAGTTTGCAAAAGAGCACCTGGATGTTCCTCAGCACTATTGGCAAAATATTCTGCGGGCAGATGAAACCAAAGTTGAGTTGTGTGGAAGGAACACACAACCCAATGTGTGGGGGGGCACAGCACACCAACATCAAAACCTCATCCCACCTGTCACAGTTGGGATCACCAACATCAAAAGGTTTGGGGGCTGCTTTGATGCCTCAGGGCCTGGAAGGTTTGCAATCATCGACGGAAAAATTTATTCCAAAGTTAATCAAGAAATTTTACAGGAGAATGTAAGGCCATCTGTCCATCAAATGAAGCTCAATAGAAGATGGGTGATGCAAGAGGACAATGACCTAAACCACAGACGTAAATCAACAACAGAATGACTTCAGCAGAAGAACGTACAAATTCAGGAGTGGTCCAGTCAGCGTCCCGATCTCAACCCGATTGAGATGCTGTGGCATGACCTCAAGAGAGCGATTTGCATCAGACATCCCAAGAATATTGCTGAACTGAAGCAGTTTTGTAAAAATTCCCCCTGACCGTTGCACTGGTCTGATCTGCAATTACAGGAAACTTATACTCCCAAACTTTCCCCACCCTGCACAATGCACAGTGGGTTCAATAAAAACATGAAAACGTATAACTGTTTGTGTGGTACTAGTTTAAACAGACTGTGTTGTTGTGACTTTGATGAAGATCAGATCACATTAATTAAAGCAGAAATCCAGGTAATTCCAAAGGGTTCACATACTTTTTCCTGTGACTGTACATCATATTAGCAATACATCAGTATCTCTTTGTTACATATTACTCCCAGTGTTTACATCCCTGATGACAAAAAAACACCATGAAAATTAAACATCTACTTAAAATCTATTCAAAGTGTGAGGCTAGATTTTAAGACGTTTTACAAACTGCTCTATTTTGGGTCTGTCAATCCTGTTTTTAAAAATGTACACTTCAAGTAGAAATATTTGTTTGGAACTTGACCATATAGATAAAAAGTCATATTTATAGACCTATTTTATATTCTCCAGATTTTGCTTACACAAAGTTTGGTTGTATTCATTTAATAAAATCAGTTCAGGGAGCAGCAAAGTGCCCATCTTTTTTTTATAGGCCTCAGATTTCCTTATCACTTCGCAAATGAAAATCACACTTTTATAAAATGGAAATGGGTATGTCATTTTCTGCACACACACAAGCACCCTTCTGTGTCATTTTGTATATACTTGTATCAGTTCCAACACATTATGTTAATAGCCACCCACATATTCGCACAATGTAATTTCATTTTTAGGTCATTACCTCTTCCAAGGAGGTAACACAATCCAGAAGCAGATAAATACTAAATACTTTTTTTTATTAAAATAATATGTGTGAGTACTTTCTAGTTAATATTTTACAGCAAAACTCAGTACTGAAATTCAGTTTTCACAATATGGTTGGGAGTTTAGCTCCCATCAAAACTCAGGACAATGCGTGATTGTGTGTGTTAATTTGGCCATTAGCCTCAGCATACTTTGGCACTTTACTTAATTACTGTAAGAAACTTTTGAATTCCTTCAAGCTGTCCTTTTGTTATTTTCCACATATAACGTCAACACAAGATGGACAAAATAACAGAAACACCCCAGCTATAAAACAATTCAATACAACACTGACACAAACTGCTGCCTTCAAAAATGACCATGTAATGGAATCAGCCCATCTGATATCATTAGGCTCCATTCACTCGAGGCATTTACCAGCTGGGGGAGACAAACATATGCAATGATGAAGAAGAGTTTTCTGCACCTCATAAGTACTTGAATGAAATATTGTGAGGTTGTATAAGTGCGTTTGGAGAAGCAACGTGGAAAGTGGAAGAAGGAAAGAGTGCAGGCTGCTCTTCCAGGGCATAATAGCATCGGTAAATGTTTATATACCACATGGATCCCTCCATATCCCATGCCGCTCTTTCAGGGCTGTGATAAATGAAAGCAATATTAAGACAGAGTATGTAGCCATTTTTATTTGCTTCTTCACTGTGGTCTTTTAATAAAGACAATAGCTTACACAGGCAAATGGATTTTAAAAACATTCATCAATATTTTGTTTATCGGCAATTTCAAATGAGTTGATTTCATAAGAACATTTTACATATCCAACAATAGTGTGAATCAACCCTGTTTGCATGAGACCCAATGTATTTAATATTTTCTGGTTGTACTATTCACTTGCATTGAACTACTGTGTAGTGATTGGTTCAGAGACGCCACTGGGAACCTGCTGAGCCTCACATTGACATTGCTATGGGATTAATGATATGATTTAGCTCTCTGAAAAAGAAAAAAAACACTCTAATGGCATTGTTGCATGCTGTTCATTATAATTAGCTTTAAATTGCCTCTCTGTTCTCTGAGGGCATGAAGGAGTGTTTTGAGTTGCATTTTTCTTCACTGATGGATAGCCTTGGTGTTGACTGATTTCATGAGGCTTAAATTAAAGCAACAAAATAAAATCTTAAATATCATGTATACCAAGGTGCTGCAACAAATACACATATATAGGTCTCCTGTAATTCAGGATTACACAGAAGCCAATTTCTCTAAAGCAAAGTAATAAAAACACAACATATTTCCTCATATTCCTCACAGACGGCAGACTGTGGCACATGATATGCTTTAACTGTCAGAGTAGCTGAGCTTGCAGTGCTGTAAAAACACATTATGGTCAAGAATGTATTCACTCTAGCCACTAAGCTAAACTAAATGCAATTGTAACACACACTCCACACCATGTTCTTGGGCAATCGTGGTGCCGTAACTGCCAAGCAACACCTACACACAAACGTCACTCACCATCCAGCTCTATGCAACACCACAACTTCCCTAGATCCTGCCTATTAATTCTCTACCTAGTCTAGCTTCTGGAGCGTGCCAGGCTTGGAACGACTTTAAAGGCAGCAACTTTGGTGGCCGAAACCCCGAAACTATATATAACTATGTTTAAGGCAGTTATATGTTTTAATGACCGTAGTTCCTGGTGTAGTCAAAACCCTGTGGTTTTGCTCTTAAGGTAGGGGGTGTTATGACATTAGGGTTGTATGTTTGTTTTGGGGTGTGTTTCTTCTCTCTCTCTCTCTACTTTCTCAGGTAGTGGCCCTTCCCCTCTGCCTCTGTTGCATAAGAGAGTGGCAGCAGGTGTACCTGATTACTCAAGGCTTGGATTTTAAGAAGGCTTGGATTTTTCACAGCAGTCTCTCTTCTTTCTTGCTGTTGAGACCACACTGCAGAACAGACCAGGAGCTGCAAACCAGTGAGAAGGTAGCCGTCATCCAGCTAGCCCAACGGATAGTGGACCGGATGGCAGACCGTTAGCTGGTGAGCTTGGGGTGTGACACTGAGCTCAATGAGTCCCGAACTATGTGTCTGGGTTAGCTTCCTCAGTGGAGGGAGGACTTTAGTTGCATACTTGTTCAGTCAGTGTTGAACATAGCCCCTTTTTAGTTTTTAAACCTGTGTTGATTATCGCCTCACCTTGCTTTCTTCTTTTGAGAGAGTAGTTTTGTGTTGGTTTACACTTTTGTCAATATTGTAATAAATTTTTTGGTTTGCACGTGACCCTGGTTCCCTGTCCTCTTATGCCCTGGTTTTATTATACACATTATTGCTCCTCCTCCCTCTGGACTTTCCATCTGGAGGAACGTAACAGTAGGAAAGGCTTGTCAAAGCATATTTTCATGAAAGACTCTCCTTTTATACACAGTACTCACACTTGTTATCTCTAACAAGTGATACATGCATACAACCGTCACTAAGTTCAATTTTTAAGGAGCACACATGGGTTTGAAGATGAGGAAAGGCAGCATGAAGGAGAAATAGCTACACTGTGTAAAGTACCATGTAAAAATACTTGTCATTAGATTCAATAAAGAACTTAAAATTAAATTTTTGTACAAATAAGGTATCTCAAGGAAATGGGATTTTTTTTTTAAATGCTTTTTTTTTTTTTTTTTTCAATTCAATACATGTTGTGTTTGTTATTGTTCTGTCCGTAAGAATAGTGTGATCTTATTATGCCTTCATCATGATGTTTTGGATTAGAGTCCGACTGACAGAAGAGTTTTAGGACCGATACCGATTCTGATATTTGAGGATTTTAAAATATTTCAATATATCGGCGATATTATTTTCTTTGCAGAAAGACCCAACATTAATAAAGATTATGCCTAACATGTTATGAGACGTCATCAAGATAACATGACATAATGCAGTTTAAAAATAAACTTTTTTGTTGTTGTTATAAATAGTACTTTGAACAAAAGTTCAGCTGTGTTTGTTTGTGGTCCCAACAACAGGTGTTGCTAACAGTGGAGTCGGAGAGTGCCCTCTGGTGAACAAGCAATGCAACGACATAACACGATGAACATAAACGTGAAGGATTTGGCTCTCCCTTTTTTAATTGCCATTTATCAGATGTTAAAAATACTGATAGAAATTTATGTGCAATAAACTCATATCGGCTGATAAAATTGGCATGGTGATTTATCGGTCAGGCTGTAGATCAACTAAACACTGTACATGTCATGCAGTATTTTGGCCAGTACTGTACTGAGGTTTGAGTATTTGATTTACACCGCACTACCAATGAGAAAAAAATCGTTTAAAGCTGGTTAGGTAAGATAGACTTAACTTGAAGTAGGCACAATGGCTAGTGAATGAGACCATAAACTCATTAGGAAAGTGTTTAGTTAGGTAATGAATCACCTGAGAAGTAGGGTCGTTTTACCATTATTTCTAATGGAACCGGACTTTTTTTGCAACCAGAAGAGTCGCCCCCTGCTGGCCGTTCCACAGAATGTAGGTTTAAGGGAAAAATATTTTTGGCTGGTAAATTTTATCAGGTTACCTGCCATTAGCAGATGAGCCAACAAGTTCATTTTGGACTCAGGTCTGGTTTCTATATACAGATGAATTATAAGGTAATTTTAAGTTGACTTAAATGTGTAACAGTAGCACAGTTAAACCCTGGTGAAACAAAGGTGTATACTTTATTTCCCTATTTTTGATTTTTATCAGTTTGTTATTTTCTAAAAATTATCTTTTTTCTTTAGAGTAATCAAATATATTGTATATTATAATATCATACACCAGGTGTGCATCTTTCACAGTCCCCTTCAGTGTCCCCCTTGGATGGAGCAGTGACCCCATAGAAAGGCACTTTTGGACCCATTTGACCCCCTCCTGGACAGACTGGACTCAAACACTGCAATATTAGGCAGAATGTTTAAATTGAAACAAAAAGTAAATTCAGTCAAATTCTCAGGCTACCAAATGAATAAGATATTTCACATGTAGTCACGGTAATGGGTTTCATTCATTTACATATGAAATATGAGCCTTCACCCTTGCACCCTCGCCCATCAGGCCCATGACACTGATCAGCCAGTACTGGTAAACCAAGAGGAGAGATTTATCTACCAACACCTTTTGAATTATTCCAATCTGTAGAAATAACTTCTACCTCCCTCAGTGCCTTAGAAGCATTTTAAAAAAGACTGGTCTCCTGCCGGCTTGGCTCATTCTAATCTACATGGATAATTGCACGACTTGAGGTCTAAATACAGACACAGAGGGCCAGCAGGGTGCCTATTCTTCTCATAGATAATAACAGTGTGCATATAAATATTCCTGTCACAGGCACTCAGTACGTGTTAGACAGAGAATGGGCTGAGGGTGAAGCAAAAGCACATGCAACGAAAGCTATGTTTGCGGTTTCAAATTGTGCTAGTTACTACTCTGCAATCCTAAGGAGAAAATCTATGGTTATTTACTGTGATTGAAAGGGAATTAAGTGATTGAAAAGGAATTAAGTGATCTATAACTCTAACTATCCTATTTATTGCGACTTGTACAAACTACAACAATAGTGTGATGTCTGTGGCATCTTCTTAACTGCTTCGCCCTCCTTGATTTTCAGTGGGTTATAATTGGTCCCAACAATTGAGCCCATTTTCATTAGACACAAATGAATTGGCTTATCACAGCAAATATACAACAGAAAGCTCTATAACGCAAATACTGGACAAACTTGCAATACACTAGTAATACTGCTTTGTGTTGATCTTTGGTGTTTGTCGACAACACTGTTAATCCTTCATGGATATAGCCATTTTGTGCTACAGTGCAGTAAATTGATTACTTTAAAGGATGAGCAAACACAGATTTCATGCATTTTGTCCTTACATCCTAAGACAGATCTATCTGCTTTCTTTGTGCGAATGAATGACTCCATTTTAATGCTATTACCTGTGTCTTCTGACTTAGCTGTGGTTTGTCTGGCTGACAACCAGAAACTCCACACTGCCACTAGACCCCTGCCAGACCTGGCGACAGCAGCGAGATTCAAGACCTGGCTAATTAGGCTTGGACTACACTTGCTCCAGGATCCCACTGGCATAATGATTACCAGTAAGTGTAAAGAGTGTTTTGGAAAACAAACTGAGCAATAATCAACTCCAACACTGACAAGTGTTTTATTTATTTAACTCCAACAAAATAAGAACCTAGTATTCATGCTGCATCATTGTTCTCACTGGTATAGCTTTTGTTTAAGTTGGTCTTTCTGTCTCACAAAGGTGACAATCTGAATCCAGGTTAAGTCTGTTTTGTTTAACTCTTAATCCTGATCATCCTTGACTGATTAAACTATTGAGTTTTAGTATTTAGTATGTTCATTTATTCAATTCCTCTTGTGTTTTTAAAAATATCTGATCTGCATTTATTCACAGTTTTAAATGATTATGGCCTATTGATGATCCCTTTGTTAGAGGTGTACTCCAGTGATATACTGTAATTATAATACAAAATTCACTGGTTGCTAAATTTCCAATGATGAAACTCAATAGCATCTTTTCCATGTCTGGGAATGTGAGGCTTCAGAGAAGTGGGTATTTACCAGTTTGTAATGCAGGCTTTCTATGAAATAATTTAAGCCCTCAAGCCCAAGCAAAAGTAACCATAATACTGTACCATTAACTTGTAATGAGAAAAGCCATCTACATGTGTAAAATCAGTGAAATGCCCCTTTTCCAAAAAGGGAAGTTAGCCTAAATGTAAATATTAACAAACCCATTTAAAACCAACAAAGCTGTATCATCCATGGATGAACACTCCATTTTGTTGTTTCTATTGTTAGCAACAACCAAATGAAGTGCATATGAAAATTAAATACTGCAAAGAAAGTGTTCGACTCTGGTCACTAAATCGGTCATTAAATCATAAAAATGTAATAGTTTATGTGACTATCGTTTTGACTTATATATATTTTCCTTTGTTTTTGGTTCCTGGTAAACCGTGTGTGTGGTACGTTCAGTTCAGTTGTGAGATGAGCTAGATGCTCAGGTGGCAGCCTAACAGTGTTAAGGTTATGTATTGTGTTCGCTGCTGCAGAGGAAATAAAGTTACTGTTTACAGTGTGAACTGATCAGACCACTGGTTGCCAACTATGTACTATACTACTCTCTGTGTGGAGGTACCAGCTACGAGCCATGCTGAATGAGTGTAAGGAACCAGTGCACTCCCAACTACGGTTTGGACATCTGGAAAAGGTTACACAGTTAAAGCTAGCATATTACCAACTTCAACAACTATTCAGTCATTTGAGAGTGAAGCACTTTCGCTGTATGTCTCTCTCTCTTTGTGTGCGTGCATAGTTGGGGAGAGGGTCTTTCAAGAATAGTTGAACAGCTCCCTGTGACTATTGGATTTTTAGTATATGGTATTTTTGCTTAAAATCACCATCCCTACTCTAGACTGAAAACACTTCTTTAAAAGCTTCTTAAAATGTTTTTAAAAATGATCCAATTAAGTAGGGAACTGTCTTCCGCTAGATTGAGTAGGCCTACACATTGTGTCTTTGGGTCAGCTGCTACATTAGCCTATTTTCAATTACAATTTCTAATAAACAGGCTAATATTTCATGTTGGAGTCAGAGCAGATCTGTGCTTCTGTATGGAAACATGGCAATGTTGCAGATTTCAAACAATACCAGAAACACTGACTGCTGCTGTGAACGCAGCTGGCTGGTGATGTGCTGGTTGTGTGGGGTTTTTTTCTCCCTCCATTTGGCCACATACCTGAGCCAATGATGTGAAAGAATGTGCAGCTACTTTGATGGAGAGCTTAATGGTCTCTGTATTTCATGTGGTACAGGTATATAATGCCTCCCTGAAGCGAACCACCAACTGTGGTGCACAAAATAGCTTTGAAATGTTTCCAGTAATTGTTCCTGCTTCACACAGAGACGAAAGGCAAACATTTGTAAGACGAAAGATTTTTCCCTTGAAAGGCATGTATACGGTTTTCTTTTCACATCTTGTGTTAAGATCCTGATTATAAAAATTTGCCTGGATGCTGTGGTCTTGTCTTTGAGGCCATAAGTACACAAATTGACTCAATTTGAAAATGAAAAATGTTTACTCTTACAGGAACTCATGCTTTGCTATTCATCAAACATCTTGCTTATGACTTTGTATGCTGGCTCCATTTGTCTTCACACAGCAGGCAGAAATTAATAAGTCAGTCCTCCTTACTTTCTGGCACACACCTAAGGATATTACTGAGCTTGCATGAAAGACACGGAAGACTGATTCAAATGGCTAATAACTAAGTAAAAAGTGGAAACTGTTTATATGACCATAATTATTTATAAAAAAAATGTTATATCATAAGAAATAATTACAAAGCAGCTTGTACACGATGAGTAGGTCCCAAACAAGTGTTTAATGAGACATTCACTTTAAAGCATTCTGATAGTTATCATGAAGGAAATTCAGCAATTTTCCTTACATACTATTCTTTGGAGAAACCTTTCAACTTGTTAATTGATTATTTAGTGATTATTAACCTTTTTATTTTCAACAGAGCTGCATGTTAAACCAGTTGCGATGTACATCTCCCGCTCTTTAAACTTTTGGATTTCACTTTTAAGTTTAGCTTTGTGACTTCTTGTCCACAGAGAAGAACTTTTACCCTTACTCTTAACCAACACTAGTACCTTTCGACATATTGGATACTACATCTACATCTACCAACCCAATCACTGTGATTTATTTGTTGTTCCCTTGGTTGTCTCTTTTCTATTGAGTGTTTAATTCTTCTTTGGGATGTTTGTCCATCTTGTTTTTCCTTATTATCATTTAATCAACCTGGTCTCATGGGATATACATACATCTTACTACATTTTTGCAGCGCCACACGTACCCTCAGGTACATTTTGCCAGAGTTTTGAGAAACAAATGTCCACAGGGGGTGCTAAAGAGAAGGACTGTACTGGAACACTACGATCACATTGCTGTAATAGACTTTTGCTGTAGTTGACTTTTTGATTTCTATTATTAAAAAGGCCTTAACCTTTAGACAAGAAACCAAACACAACATATCAATCCTTGAGATAGAACTAAGACTGCAACCAAGACTTGACTGCTGCTCTGGCTTATATGCATTTTGCTGATTACCCTGCCAATCAGGT